TTCTACTTTTAAATACCCTAGGATGCCCCAGCATGAATGCACACAAGCACATTTATAACCCATGCATGGCTGCAAACTGTCAAGAAGTAAAAACCAACACTAAATTGTTTGCAATTATTTCTGTTTATAAAATGTTTTTGTTTGTCACACCAGATGGCAAAATGCAGTTCAGTCCCCACGAGCTGTGATTAAGTGGTCTGTGAAGCTAAGTTGGGAGACTAGCTTGAAGGAGATTTTAAATTTAAATCAGGTACGGTTTTGCTTTTTTGCAGGCACAACAGTACTCTATTCTAAGACTGAATGTAAAAAGATGGCGGTGGCCACATGTTTGGTGACAAGGAGCACACAATAAAACAATAAAACACTCAGCCTCAAGCTGAGTGTTTTATTGTCGGTATCTTGATGTCTTGAAAGCAGAACTGATGAGTTGGGGGTTGATCTGACAGTGAAACCTCATGTTAGTAACAAGCTTGGCCTACCGTGAATTACACCCTGCCATCCTTCGTCAAAAAAAGAGAACATTATCTTGTTATTTCTTTAGCTGACATTGGAAAAACAGGAACTTTTCTCTCATGTAATTGTTTATCTAATAGTTAATTACTTTAGTGTAGTATGAATGGCTGTGTGGGGGAGGTAGTGAGGGGCAGTTTTTATCAACTGGAAATGTTGGAAAACTTATACAAATACAGTTACATTTCTGAAAACTATGCACTCCTTCACATTTTCTGAAGCTGTCCAGGGGACTGGATTAGAGTCTTTGCTAAACTGGGGGCAGCATTCTGGCTCCCAGGCCTTGTATTTGACCCCCCTGCCTGGGGCTCTGCTTTTCTCATGGACATTATCTATTCTGCTTTCCTGGGTGTTCAGCTAGTCTGTTCTTTACATCACTTTCACTTTCCCAGTACTGACATCACTGCCTGCCTCCTCCCTGTCTCCACCTCATCCGAGTTGGTCAGAGCTACATCAATCTTCAGCTTCCAGCTTCATCTTCACCACCACCAGTGTCTAGACTCGGAAGAGTCCTGTCCTAAATCCTATCACCACTGGGATTCTGTTCTTCCATGATGGATCATCAGAGTCTGATCACTAAATGTGTTAATTTATTTCTTTTTCTCAATAAATCATGTCCAGTTCTTCCGAATGATCTCTCCTCATTGAACCTCTTTCAGAAGCCTGAGGAGGCACTTCTGTTTTGGCTTTACAGAAAATGGAGCCCATGCTCATTTTTAATATGCAACCTGTACTTGAGTTAGTTGTATTGCATTAGTTGTATTTTGGTGAGAAATCTTCACAAATACACTTCAAGTGGACCAGTAAGAGAGGACCACACATGTAATTTCCTGTTCACTCAGGAACTCTGCAAGAGAAACTGTGGGTAATGGACCTTGCACTGCAAGATCAGAATAGTAATGATAAAGAAGGAACGATTCGCACTCCTCATATGACTTTTCCCGATCAGTCTGGTGACCTTTGAGCCCCTCTTCTCTAAACTTGAGTCTGCCACTGACCGGTAGGCATTTTGAGTTACACCTCTGATAAACTGAAGCAAGTGAGCACAATACAGAGCACCAAAATGAAGGAAATACACTGAACCTTCGTGTCCATTCGTTTTATATACAACACACACCATTCACTGACCATGTCAAACATGTGGAAAGTTTCCATATGGAAATGTTAAGCCTATAATTCTTAAGCTGTCCAAGAACATTGCCCTGCAGTGTAGAGAAACTAGACATAAGGCTGTTCCATTTTGCAAGTAAAGGCGTGGTCCAGATGAGGGTGATGTGCAACGGCTGACCAACATGCAAAGTGATGGTGCACGCCAGTGTCTGGGATTGGCTGGAGGGAGGGCCCCACCTTTGCGCTACTTCCTAATAGCCCAGGAGGTTCACCTGAGGCTTGTGGAAGGACACCCGCTGAGCTCTCACAGGTGTGGTTCTGCAGGGGAACAAGAGGGGAACATCTATTTCAGCCATGCAGGAGGGACAAGACACACCTCTGGTGAGTATCTAAATTGCAGCTCATTTCTTTTCTCTTCTTCTTCCTTTTGTTGTCTTTTTTTGTCTGAAAAGCATCATCTCACACACGTTAAGACATGTAATGATGACCACTGGATCACCATTGTGTGTCTGTGTGTGTGTCTCAAGCTACATTAAGATACACTAGTTAATAATAAAGTAGATAATTAAGGTTTTAAAGTCAAACAACAGATCAGAGAACAAAAAGTTAAAATAGCTCAAATTTGAATCTTCAGATTTTACATTTTAGGTTTTTTTTAAAAACAGAATATATTTATTAGCCATTCACCAAATCACTAAACTTGGTGAAATGGCAAAGTGTGAGGAAAAAAGGTGCTAAAAATATTGCTTATGGAACATTATTGTTAGTTTAAATGACAACAAATGCATAAGCATTTAAAAGAGGCCCCACATATGAGCCCTAACAAAGTTCATTTAAATACTAGACTTCAAGCTAGAAGTGCGTGTGTGTGTGTGTGTGTGTGTGTGTGTGTGTGTGTGTGCATGGAAGAGTGTGTGTGTCCTTGAGATACCCACTCCAGCACACATACACACAGCTGCTTGTCCTTTCCTCTACCTTTGCATGTAAATCGTCCTGTTTGCATGCCCAGTAGTCTTCTCCCTCCCAGACCCAGACCTGTAGTCAAATAAAAGCCTCCACAACAAGCTGCTCTCTCCCATTAAAACAGATGGCTGAACACAAATTGACTCGCCGCCTGTATATTAACCATTGAACCACAGTTGCTTTAAAACGCATGTTCTTTACTCAAAGTAAATGGGGAGGCTACTGCTGTCGGTCACAGGAATTTGCACTACTATTATTTTTTTTGTTTGTTTTAATCGTCTTTCACAAAGCTGCTCAAGCGCCCATGCAAATAAGGCTGGCTGATAAAAGTGTCTGTTTACTGAGGCAAATGGGTAATCTTATCAATATTAAATGAGCCTTCTTTCTGAGCTCAGTGTATTTTGGTTCCCATGAAAAGACTCATCCCGAGATAAACTGAACTGTAAAACAATAGCTCCGTATAAAGAAGGTCACGATGTCAAAAGCAGATCCCCTCCCCATTTTTCTCAAGGTTCTTTCCAGGTTAGGTTGTTCCAGGTGCCTTAAAGAATTTGCCAAATTTTTTTCTGCTGATTTATGCTGTCTTAGTTGCATATTCCTCTTCATATAATCCCAGACTGACTCCACGATGCTAAGATCAGGGCTCTGTGTCTACCATGCCATCTGTTGCAAGACTCCTTGTTCTTCTAGCTCAAAACAGTCTGTTATGAGGCTTTAAGTATGTTTGGTGCTGTTGTAATGCTGCACAATAAATGCTGGTCTGATCTGATGCATTGACTGATGTACACAGTCCTAAATATCTAAAGCACCTAAAATTTTGCACAGGGCTAGCAAATGTCCTCATTTCACAACTTATAAGGGGGCTTACATTTAGAGGTTCAGATGCATGTCTGTTTCCCTGCTTCGTGCATACCAGCAAAAAAGAGGGTTTTGTGCATTTGTAGTTCAAACATGGGGCACGAAGCACTTTGCATATGAAGCGAGAATGAAAATTCTGCCAGCTTTGCATTGACCACATGTACTTCTAAGAAGCTTTCCGTCTGTAGAGCCAGCGGTGAGTGAGTCATAATGGATTTATCGTTAAAGCGACCTAATATCTGGGTATTCATTTGTTTACAGGGGACGCTGCAACCACAGACGCGATGCCTGCAATGTGGGGACACGCTGGAGTGGTCAGAGGAACATGGGTGTGTGTGTTTGTGTGTGCAGCACTCTGAAACAAGAGAAACTTTTTTTTTTCTACAGTAGAATTATTGGCTCTGACAGAAGCTTTTTTCTCAAACGAGTGTTCAGAAGCATTCGTGATGAGGACGTCATCATCAGAGCAGCTGAAAAGGCCAACGCTTAGGAGGCCTCACGGGCAAGAGTGCCACAGGATGAAACCATTTGCACTGGACTAACAAACATTAACTAAATCCAAGTACAGTTTTCTATTTAAATTATTCATGAGAGCCGGTCCATTCCTGGCTGTGGAAAAATGAATGCTTTCTCCGTTATTAAATAAGAAGAAAAGCACAGAGCTACATTTTTCATTTAGCTAATACTGGACGAAGCAGATAAACCATAAAGCATTTAAATCATCTAAATGAGTTCATTTAATGAAATAACCTCCCAATTTTTTATTCCATCTATGCATCTTGATCAAATTAAAAAAAAATGGTACTGCAGGAAGCTTCAACCCTGTCTGGAAATATTAGGCTTTTACTCAAGTGAAAATTAAAGTGAGAGTTAATGGAATAGCATTAATTACTGATTTCAGTCCACTTATGTTAAAAAAAAAAAAAAAAGGAAAAATGCTATGGGGTGGCTGTAGCTCAGGTGGTAGAGCAGGTCACCTCGGAAGGTTGGTGGTTCGATTCCTGGCTTCCCCTAGTCTGCATGCCAAATATCCTTGGGCAAGATACTAACCCCAAATTGCTCTCCGATGCATCCATCGGAGTATGAATGTGTGTGAATGTTAGCTAAAGAAAAAAAAAAGCACTTAGACAAATGTGCTTGTGTGAATGGGTGAATGCACAAGTTGTATAAAGCGCTTTGAGTGCTCAGAAGAGTAGAAAAGCACTATATAAGAACCAGTCCATTTACCATATGGGAAAGAAAACAAAAAGAGTGTATGTTAGGGATATTTAAAATATCGTTAATAATCAATTCAATGTACAAAAAAATAGAAATGAGTGTGGTACATATGGAGAATTTCCATAATATAATATTATGTCTGATCAGAATAGGAATCATCGTTATTTGGCAAAGTTTGTGCATACAAACATGGAATGCATACAAAAAGAAAGAAAGAAATAGGCAATATATATAAATATGCAAATATACACAAGAAAAACACAAGTTGCAGAAAGCCTTTAGAAACTATACAAAATGCAGCAAACTACAAATGGGCAGCAATGATAAATATAAATAGGCTGAACACAGTGCAACCTGGATGAATCTTAGATATGAATTTTAATAGTGCTTTAATGTCAACATTAAGGTGTTTTTGTTGAACTTTGACAAGCTTTTTTTTATATTAAAAAAATACATAAACACACGGTAATAAGAAGCAAACCAAATCAGCGAAGAGAACAGTGTAACAGCCTTGGCAGGTGAAATTAACTGTCCTTTTGTAATTGCAACAGCACAGAAAAGTGTTGCTGCATGTTTATGAGGAGCTTTGTGGGCAGGATAGTCTAGATAAAAATTGAATCTGATTCTTTTTCATACCTTTTCTGTGCTGCAGAAGACTGATGCATATAACAATTTCACACTTTTTTGCTGTCAGTGTCCTGCTGGGCTGTTCCTGCTGCTCTACAGTAGATGAGACTCTAGAGAATGTAGCCAGAAGACTCGGCAGCAGAATGAAGAAAGAGAAGAGCCACTGGGCAGCTGGCAGAGTTGGTGACATTGACTTTCTCGGTCCGACTAAAACGAGAGGAAAGGTGAGACTGGATGTCATAACGAGTAAGGAGAGTGTGCAGTTCAACCGGTATACTGACGCATCACTTTCCCCCTTGCCTTCAATCAGTTTGTGAGGGTGCGCAGCAACACAGACCCAGTGCTGATCTACCAGATGCTGACAGAAGAGTGGGGTCTTGCTCCTCCACACCTGGTGGTTGCAGTAGTGGGAGGCGATGAGGTGGCTCAGATGAGGCCCTGGCTTAGGGACACACTGAGAAAGGGACTTGTGAAGGCTGCACAAAGCACAGGTTATAATCAAGGGTACAAACTGGCCCTGGCTTTTGAAATCAAAGAAATGGAATCTTTTTAGGCTGCTATACTGGCAAGAGAGTGCCTTTTATTTGATATATAAAGTGTTGTTTTTTTCTGTGATATTATGTGGTTTTCATTAATAATGATATGATTAATTTCAGAATAACTAGCTTTATGATTATATTGGCAGCTACAATAGTTTAATATGCAATCTTGGATCCAACTTTCCAGTTTGATACTCATCAGAATTACAACTTTGCAGAGAGATCATGTAAAATTAGACATCAAACGTTCAAAACCTCATATGTACATATACAACTGCATTGCTGTTCTCTAGGGGCATGGATTTTGACTAATGGCCTTCGCTTTGGCATCACCAAGCACTTAGGCCAGGCGGTACGAGATCACTCCTTGGCCAGCACCTCTTCTAAAGTTCGTGTTGTGGCCATTGGCATTGCTCCCTGGAACATGATCCACAACCGAGAGGCACTACTCACAGCCAAGGTTCCTGTTCACACAAAGGGAGCACAAGGCCAATATTAGTATCCTCCGTGAACTAATATTTACATCTCTCGTGTTAATGTGTTGTCGCTGTCCTCTTTCCTGCTGAGTATCCTTTCATATTTTCTTAAGGTTGATGAACCCGCAGCATACAAGCCTCAAGACCTGCCCCATGGATCAGTGTATTCCCTGGACAGTCACCACTCTCACTTTGTTCTGGTTGAGGAAGATCCCAACAGACCTGGAGCCACCAGTGAAATGAGGGTGAAGCTGCTCAAGCATATCTCTCTTCAGCGCACAGGTTACGGAGGTAAAAATCTTTTAGGTCATTGCTGGGAACCAATCTTTGACTTAAGCAGTATGCCGTATGTTAACGTTGCTTCATTAAAAGTTTATATCATTCCTTTACATGCACCTGTGTAAAAATGAGTAAAAATGACACTGGAATGTACTTACGAGAATTCATTGTGACAAATGGTAGCTTTTATGGATTTCAATTATGGATGCATTTTGGCATTGTTTCATTGTGGTGTTGCACATAGTACATGTGGCTGCTTCATATATAAATAGCTTCTTTTTTTTTAAAACAAAAAAGGGAAAAAAAAGCATATTCATATTTTATGATGTTTATGAATTCTTGAATTACTTCACAAGCACAATAGCAGTGAATCTAATGGAGTCTATTTTTACCATTTTAATTGTAAATTAAAATTTTCATTGTAATTGTAAATTGTAAAGCATTTTGTGACTTTTGTTCTTGAAAAGAACGATATAAATAAGCCTTACTTAATTGCTTACTTACTACTTTTACTGCATATTCAAAAGTAGCCTGTTTCCATAAATAGTGTTTCAGTCATTTTCCTTTTCGGGTTTCCAAAGCTGTTCACATTTAATATCAGAGCAAAAATAAAAACAACATTTGGTTCAACTCTCCACAACTTAGAGACAAAGGGAACACATCACACAGATATTTTTACATATAGAGCATGCACAACCAATGTAGGTAACACTTCCTGTTAGTGAACCTCTTATATTTAACTTGCTTTAGCCTGCCCAGAGCTACTAATGCTACCCCTGTAAGCTTCTTTGCAACCCACCATCACCCCAGCTTCTCCTTTTTCTGCATTTCATTCTGTGAATATTCTTCTAGGTGCAGGAAGTTTTGAGATCCCTGTTCTGTGTCTCTTGGTCCACGGAGAACCCAGGATCCTAAAAGTAAGCTTCTTTTTTTTTCATTGTGCTACATTAGCTTCTCAAGAACTTTAAAGGCGAAACCACGAAGAGACCCTCTGAAAGGCAGATTTGTTTTGTCATTCAAATGTGCACATTCTCAGTTTGAACGCTGGCTAAGGCTTGAAAATTAGGCTCTGAGTCAAATTTTGGTGGTGCCATCTCCTGAGGCAGCAGGCCAAAGCCAGACTGAGAAACAAATTCTTTCTGTTTTCACAAAACTAATCTCTTCAACCAAAAAGCCCATCAAAGTCACCAATGCATTTGCATAAATAGAGCCATTACTGAGGAGATTATAGACTACAGCTTACACTGAGAAATATAATTCTTGTTGATGTTTAGTTGGGAAGTTATCATCTTTAAAAAAAAATCATATCAACTGAAAATTCATCAGAACACTGTGTCCCTTCTTGCAGAGAATGTATAAAGGCATTGGCAATTCGACACCATGGCTGATCCTGGCAGGCTCTGGAGGTGTGGCTGACATCCTTGTCACACTGATGAATAGGGGCTGCTGGGATACGGACAGTGTTCATGAGCTGCTGCTGGACACCTTTCCAAATGCCCACCACAGCACAGACATCAGTAACTGGGTCAAGCTGGTAAGAGCGATGTGCACAGCGTGGAGCAGGCACATATACAGATATGCACATCACAAGACTTGAACATTGGCAGAAAAATAGGGCACACTGGGGAAGATTGTGAAGGAAGCTAATGTAGGATTTTCATCATTATCGTCAACATTTGTATGTGATGACCTAATTAAGAACACAAGGAGGGAAGGCAAGACAACAATTTCGTAACATATTTTTTTCCGAGCTGATACACATAATAAAGGTACTTTGTATACAACACATTAAATTCTCTTTAATAAATTGCGTCACTCAAATGATATTTCCATAATTACTGACTGTCGCCCTGACAATCAGATTCAGAAGATACTTGATCACGAGCATCTCCTCACTGTCCATGACCCGGAACAAGAAAGCTCTGAGCTGGATACAGTCATTCTCAAAGCTCTAGTCAAAGGTAAAATATTTTTCTTGTGAGAGATATGTTTAAGAAACTTGCAATTTCCTAAGGCTGCACAATTACAGGTTTCCTGACATGACAGTTGCAATAAGAAAGAGCTTTGACATTTTGAGCGCTTGATAGATTGTAAATCTGTTGACATATTGTGTGTGTGTGTGTGTGTGTGTGTGTGTGTGTGTGTGTGTGTGTGTGTGTGTGTGTGTGT